CTAGCCTATCATTTTGGATGCCAGAACAGCCTACAAGGCAACCTCAAGAGTAAGAGAAACCCCTGTTACCTGAGGAGACTAGGATACTGAAAATTATCTAGTCAGAAAATCAAGTTTCTCCTCTGGATGCTTTCTACTTTTTGTTTGTTTAATTTGCACATCATAAAACACAACAAAACATTGCTTGCTTTCTCCGCCTAATAAGCCAGAGTGAGAAACATTGTTGAACTTAGGCCATTATCTTTTGAGCCTATATCAGGGCTTCTTAAATCTTGATGTACAAATTTTTTTTTTGAGAATCATAAAAATGCAGATTCTGATTCAGTAGGTCTAGGGTGGGGCCTGAGTTACTTCTTTGCATGCACCACATAGCAATGTTTTGGTCAACAATGGACCATATAAATACATCACTGTCTTCCACCTCCACGTTCTGTCCCACTGGAAGGTCTTCAGGCGCAATAACACACAAGGAGCTATCATCTCCTATGATAACAATGCCTTCTTCTGGAATACCTCCCCCCAGACCACCACAAATACGTGAGGATTGCACTGTGCTATAGTGATGCTACTACGGCAACATCATCACTAGGCAATAGGAATATTCCAACTCCATTATAATCTTATGGGACCAGCGGATATGGATGATCCTGACCTTGCGTAGGCCCAGGTTAATGTGTGAGTTGGTATCTTCATTTTGGTTTTGTTTGTTTTTGAGACAGGGTCTCACTCTACCGCCCAGGCTGGAGTGCAGTGGTGCAATCTCAGCTCACTGCAACCTGTGCCTCCCAGGTTCAGGCAATCCTTCCACCTCAGCCTTCCAAGTAGCTGAGACGACAGGTGCGTATCACTACGCCTGGCTATTTTTCATGTTTTTTTGTAAAGGTAGCGTTTCGTCACGTTGTCTAGGCTGGTCTCAAACGCCTGGACTCCAGCAGTCCACCTGCCTCGGCCTCCCAAAGTGCTGAGATTGTAAGTGTGAGCCACCACACCCAGCCCTCTTAGTTTTTTGTTTGTTTGTTTTTGAGACAGAGTCTCACTCTGTCATCCAGGCTGGAGTGCAGTGGCGCAATCTTGGCTCACTGCAAGCTCTGCCTCCCGGGTTCACACCATTCTCCCGCCTCAGCCTCCAGAGTAGCTGGGACTACAGGCGTCGGCCACCACGCCCGGCTAATTTTTTCTATTTTTAGAAAAGATGGTGTTTCACCGTGTTAGCCAGGATGGTCTCCATCTCCTGACCTCGTGATCCACCCACCTTGGCCTCCCAAAGTGCTGGGATTACAGGTATGAGCCACCGTGCCTGGCCTGTGTCTTAGTTTGTAACAGAAAAGTTTAAAACATAAAAATAATAGAAAAAATCTTATAGAATATGGATAGAAAAAAATATTTTTGTACAGTTGTACAATGTGTTTGTGTTTTGAGCTATTACTACAAGAGTCAAAAGTTTAAAAAATTTAAAAGTTGATGAAATTAAAAAGTTATAGTAAGCTAAGATTATTACTGAAAGAAAAAATTTTAATAAACTTAGTGTAGCCTAAGTATACACTGTTTATAAAGTCCATAACAATGTACACTAAGGTCCTAGGACTTCATATTCACTCACCACTCACTGACTCACCCAGAGTAACTTCCAGTCCTGCAAGCTCCGTCGTCTCAGCTGCTCCTTCAGGAAGCTCTAGAACTGGGAGGTCCTTCAGTTGTCTTGATAAGGGGGCCAGGCCTATGAAACCCCATATTAACCAGGCATGGAATGTAGACTGCCCAAGGGAAGGCGTCACTTGGGGTGAGGCAGGTCCTTTCCATGGAGCAGCTCTCAGAGGGGGACTTAGCTGTGAGCCATGAGGAGCCAGCACTCCTGTCAGCGGGGCCAGTGAGCACTTCAGCCTGGAGGGGGATCTAGGTGAAGTACCAGTGTCTACTACTCTGGCGATAGCCCCAGTGACCTCAGGAAATCACTGTCCTGTTTTCCATCTTGGTCCACATTTAGGACAGAATATGATAGACATTTCTTCAAACATTTCTGTTTTAAGAATAAATGGGACAATGTGTCTGTGGAACGTGCCAGGCCCTAGAGGCGAGTGATTCTAGGAACAGTCATTCTGGTTTTACAGAAAAAAACTCTGACCTAATTTGAAAGTTGCACAAATCATCTTATTTCAAGCAGGGATGCCGGTAAAAGGTTCAGGAAGGCCCTTTGGCAGATACTTCATGTATTGATTTCACAGAAATGAAAGCTAGGTGAGCTAACATCTGAGGGAAAGGATGTGTGCCATCTAGTGGCACTAAAAGCGAAGCCTAATGCTTAAGGGAAGATTTCCCTTTTCATCCTCGGGGAACGCAGTGAGGTTTTCAGTAGTGTGTTCCTACTTTTAGAAGCAGGTGTGGGAGTTCACTAAGTGAAATAAAATTACAATGTCTACAGCTGGATAGCTGCGTGGGGTAACACATAAAATTGGATCCATTATTTCTACACTGGATAAATTCCAAATTTAAGGACTGGGTGCGGTGGCTTACACCTGTAATTCCAGCACTTTGGGAGGCAGAGGCAGGCAGATCACCTAAGATCAGGAGTTCAAGACCAGCCTGGCTAATATGGTGAAACCTCATCTCTACTAAAAATACAAAAATTAGCCGGGTGTGGTGGCATGCACCTGTAGTCTCAGCTACTCAGGAGGCTGAGACAGGAGAATCATTTGAACCCTGGAGGCGAAGGTTGCAGTGAGCAGAGGTCGCATCGCTGCACTCCAGCCTCAGAGATCTAATATTAAAAAATGGAAAACATAGCAGTACTAGCAAATTAAGTACTAGAATTCACAAGAGTAAATACCTTTATAACTCAGGAGTGGGGAAAATACTCCTATGATCAGAATCCAGAAGCATTAAGGGAAGAGATTAACTATAATTTAAACAAACAAAAAAGCAAGGCAAAAAGTCTAAAAAATATATGCAACTTATATCATGAGGGGCTAATATACAAAAAAGTCTCTAAAATATTTTTAAAGTCCATCCTGATAGAAAGTAAAGGATGGACAATTTAAATAAAAAGAAGTACAAATAGCCCTTAAACAGGTGAAAAGATTGATTGATTTATTGCACTTTGTTTTCCATTTTAGGAGTTGCTTTTACATTTTATTTTATTTATTATTATTATTATTATTTGAGATACAGTCTCACTCTGTTGCCCAGGCTGGAGTGCAGTGGTGCAATCTCGGCTCACTGCAAGCTCTGCCTCCCGGGTTCATGCCATTCTCCTGCCTCAGCCTCCCGAGTAGCCGGGACTACAGGCGCCCGCCACCACGCCCAGCTAATTTTTGTATTTTTAGTAGAGACGGGGTTTCACCTCGTTAGCTAGAATGGTCTCAATCTTCTGACCTTGTGATCCGCCCGCCTTGGCCTCCCAAAGTGCTGGGATTACAGGCATGAGCCACTGCGCCTGGCCTATTATTATTTTTTTAGATAGAGTCTCACTCTGTCTCCCAGGCTGAAGTGCAGTGGCCGGATCTTGGCCCACTGCAAACTCCACCTCCCAGGTTCAAGCGATTCTCCTGTCTCAGCCTCCCGAGTAGCTGGGATTACAGGCATGCGTCACCACGCCTGGCTTATTTTTGTATTTTTAGTAGAGACAGGGTTTCACCATGTTGGCCAGGCTGGTCTCCTGACCTAAGTGAACCGCCCACCTCAGCCTCCCAAAATGCTGGCATTACAGGCGTGAGCCACCACCTTATTTTGGCCTTATTTTGTATTTTAAACATGTTACACATTTACAGGGTTCCAAGTTTATATATGAAACAAGATCTATTCAGAGAGGTCTAGCTTCCATTCCTATCTTCTCCCGCACCTGTTCTTGATCTCTCCTATTGTTTACCATTTTTATTAGATTTTGGTTTACCTTTCTATTGTTTATTTTTGAAAATATAAGTATTCATTTGTATATGTATCTGTAACACCCTGTATACCAAAGGTAGCATACTACATACACTCTTTCGTGCCTTGCTTTTTCACTTCACATCATAGTCATATATCTTCCACATTCCTTAAGAGCTTCATAATACTTTGTTGTATGCATGCATCATTTGAAAAGATGTTCCACTTCCTTCACAAAAGATCAATACAAAACTATACTGAAGGCCGGGCACAGCGGCTCACACCTGTAAACCCAGCACTTTGTGATGCCGAGGCAAGTGGATCGCTTGAGGTCAGGACTCCGTCTCAAAAAAAACAAAACAAAAAAACAACTATACTTTGATAACATTTCCTACATATCAATTTAGCAAACATCTAGGAGTTTGACAATTCATTCTATTGGAGAGGCTGCAGAGAAACAGCAAATGTTGCTGGAGTGAATACAAAATTGCACAACCCCTATGAAAGGGAATTTGGTAGTATTAAACAAAATAACATGTTCTTTTACCCTTTGACCTAACAATCCCATTTATAGAAATCTATGCTAAAGACCCACTGGCAACAGCATGTTATATACGCACAAGGAACCTTTTGTAATAGCAAAAGACTGGGAATAGTCCACATATCCACTAGTAAGAGCCTGGCTAAATAAACTACACTACACCCATATATAACCAAAAAGAGTTATGTCCAGTTCATTTACAACATAGTATCTTGACTGTACATCCCCAGTTGGACACAGTTTTAGAAAAAAGGAAGCACGTGCAAAGTTAAACTTCATTATCTGTCTAACATTAGCAATATCACTATTGTTATTCTGTTTTTAGTCGTTCTTTATCCTATTACTGCTATTATTGTTATTGTTTTTATATACCTGTGAATATACGTAGATGAAGCAAATAAGCATTATGTTAATATTAAGAACCAATATTTTCATTGCCTCCATGTGTGGAGAAAAAAAAGAACCAATATTTTCATCTTAAGAGAAAGGAGACAAAAAGAGCTCAGCTTTAAAAAAGGATTACGACGTAGAAAAAGACACAACACTCAAGATAGTCATGGGTCTTTAAGAAACGGAAATTTGAGACGGCTAAAACACAGAAGAGTGTGGACTTTGGGATAGAGATGAGGCTCAAGACAGCGTAAGCAATTTTTTAAAGTTATGTCTGAAGCAAGAAGAAAAGACAAGGAATAGGTTTAGTTTCATCTCTGATACACCGTTTCTTGTTAAAATTGATGGTTTTTTCTGCAGGCATTTGCTTCCTGAATGATGGTCCCACTCAGCCATCCACCTACACTTTCTACCAAGTCAATTTATACTGATTCTTCGGGTCAGTTAATCACTGGTACGTTTCCCCTCCCTGGTCAAGGATCTTTTATTATACCCTATCACAGAATCGTATTCCCTTCCTTAGTGCACTTCTCTCAACTGGTAAGTACCCCCATTAATGTAATTACTTGATAAATACATGCCTGCTTTTCCTCTTCCAGGGCCGAAATTGTCCCTGGTTTTGCTCATCATTCTATAGTATATAGCAGGAGTTCAATAAACAGTTCTTAAAGCAACATATTTAACTTCCATTTTGTTCCCATCTCTTCACTCAGAGACTTTTCTTTGGATTGGGAAGGGTAAAATACCCGAAGACTTGAACTCCAAAAGAAACAAAATGATTTTATGCAAACGTTTCTTCCTTAAAACTCATTCATTGGGCAAATATTCATTTAGTCCCTGGCACTATTTGGTAATGGGAATACAGGAGTGCATATGGCAGATAAAGTTCTGTTGCTGCCCTTACCGAGTTTAGTGGGGGTGAGACGTGGTGTTAGTAAATGCATACTATATTGTCTGTATTTAAATCGAGTCCAAATCTCCCGCTCTAAATCCCGCCTTGGGATGTTTCTTACATCCCAAGAAACAGAGTATTTTGATGGGATCGCTGATGTTTCAGAATGCAAAAGTAGCTCAGGGCGTTTGCAGTCGTGCAAGTCAACAAGGTAACAGTCTGAACCGAAAGCTGGGCTTCTCCGGGTCTCCTAACTCCAAATCCAACTCCAAGCTTCTGCAGCTGCCACCTCCCGTAGACTTCTCATTTCTTCCGCATTCTCCTCTCACGACGGGTCTTCTTTGTTGTACTTAATTTCCTATGCAACAAGATTTCAGCATCACCATCAGTCCCCCAAAGACCAATTCTCACAGAGCCGAAGTTCCCACCAAGGGCGGTGGGTAAGGGTTACTAAAATCAGCGTTTATGAATCCTGTCTCAAGTTGTCTCACCTGGGGTTCCGTAGAACAGTTTCTTCGTAAGAGGTCCTTCAGCGACAGCCGAGCTCGGAAAAAACGGGAACAAGGTGTCTTTTACATTTCCTCAAATACCGTGTATGGTCTGAGGCGCAGGTCAGGTGTATTTAAATATCCTTTAAACAGTACTCCCCCCGCCCCAAAAACTGACCTTGAAGGAACAAGTGAAACTCATCCTGCTTTTTATGTTTGCTAGGTTTGCCCGTTACACCCCTTCCCCCGCACCTACCAAGACAGGCAGCTGTCGGCCACCCTCCGGGGTCCTGATTTTGAAAAGAGGAGTGGACCAATCATATGTGGAGCGCTGTTTGGCGCTGCAGTTTGAGCCTGGGCTGAAACTGCGGGTGTGACGGCCGCCGTGGCTCCGGGTGTCTGCGGAGGAGGTGGGGGCGGAAGCATGAGGCTAACGGCTTGGCTTCAGTGAGCGCACCGGGATGTGCAGGCCGGGAGCTAGAGGCAGGCTGATGGGGGAGGGGACGAGCAGCCTGTGAGACGGGGTGACTGCGGCGACCAGCCCGGGCGGGCACCGGGACTGGAAGAGTTGCCCGAGCAGCCGGCTGGTCCGGCGGCCAGGCTGGGGCGGGGACGAGCACCTAGTTGAGCCTGCTGGGGCTGGAGGAGCGAGAAGGGTCCTCTTCACATTTCAGAGCGAACCAGACGGGGACAGTAAGGTTTGGAGGAAGGGGGATCGTTGGAAGCAGCCGGAAGTGGTGAGAATCTGGCAATAGGCGAGAAACGGAAAGAATCAAAAAGAAGCGAAGTCTATGTGAGTAGCTGAAAGGATTGGGTGACCAGAAAGAAGGTCGGTGTAAGTGAAGAAAGAGTGAGGTGTGGCTGGATCAAAGGGCTAAGAGAAGAGGGTCTGTGTAAGTGGATGTAAGTGAGGATCAAGGAAAAGCCGTGGAAGTGGCCGGGGTTCGGGGCCGCAGGAGTGCCAGACGGGGCCGGAAGGCAGCGGAGCGGAGTTCAGATTTGAGAGCGTTTGGAAATTGGAAGACTTGGTGGCGAACGAGGGTCAGGACCTGCGTCCTGCCTCAGAGAGCGATCGACGTGTCCGGAATGTGGGATCAGAGGCTGGTGAGGTTGGCCCTGTTGCAGCATCTGCGGGCCTTCTATGGTATTAAGGTGAAGGGTGTCCGTGGGCAGTGCGACCGCAGGAGACACGAAACAGCAGCCACGGAAATAGGGGTAAGTTCTGTGAAAAGGGATTTAGGTTTAAAAGAAAGGGCACCCCTTTATCATCGCTTATTACCAGATCATGCTAAAATGTTCACTCTATCACAAAGAATGGTTAGGTGTGTAATTCAGTTCAGATGGCTGATTGCTGATATTTAAAAAGGGACCTTCTTGGTGGTGGTTGTTTTTTTTTCCCCCTAAGGATTTTTGATCATTGAGAGAAAGTTGCAGGATTTTCCAACTTCAGCACTATTGACATTTTGGATTAGATAATTTTTGTTAGGGGAAGAGGAAATGCTGTTCTGTGAATTGGGATGTTGAACGGGATGTCTGTCTTTTACCCACTAGATGCTGGTAGCATCTCTCGGTTGTGACAATTAAAAATGTCTCCAGATATTGCCAGCTTACTGTATTTGGAACAGGTAGTACGTTGGGAGGGACAAAAACTCTACCCCTCCACCCTTGTTTTAGAGTAAGGTTGTAGAGGGACAAGGGAGACCAATGCATTTTCTAGAAGAATCTGTAGATGAAGAAGTATGACAGAACATTAGAAACAGGCTTCAAATGATAACTGCATATTCACCAATTTGAGAAATAAGTTTGCTGCTTGGCCATGTCATACTTTTGAGACAGCAATTTTTTTTTTTGAGTAAATTGAGAAGCCAGAGTGGAATAATTGAAAAGTTGTTGATGTTTTGGTGGTTGAGGTAAAGGGATTTTGAATGAGATTTTAATAACTCTGCCACATCATCAAGAATTCCATTGTGAAAAATAAGCTGAATGTAAAGCATTTTGTTTTAAATTTATGTGCCTAATTTGTATGGCACTTCCTAGTACTTGGAGACAAGCTAATACATTAATATACATTGCTCTTAATATACATTGCTCTAAAGTTTATGGTTTCTTTAAAAAAGTGCTTGGAGAAGAAAACCACTAACAAAACTAATATGTGTACCTCTTAGTCGCTGATAAACTTTGGAGAAGTTATTTTTGTTGGTAGCAAACTAATGGCAATACATGTACTTATATTTAAAAAGCTACAGTGATTTCTGATTGTAAAACTGGCTTTCCAAGATCTCAATCTGTAGCTGATTTTGTAAGTATATGGAAGAGTTTGTATATGGACTTTTTTTCACCCCTTCACCCCTTTTCTTTCTTTCTTTTCTTTTTTTGAGACGGAGTCTCGCTCTGTAGCCCAGGCTGGAGTGCAGTGGCCGAATCTCAGCTCACTGCAAGCTCCGCCTCCCGGGTTCATGCCATTCTCCTGCCTCAGCTTCCCGAGTAGCTGGGACGACAGGCGCCCGCCACCACACCCGGCTAATTTTTTGTATTTTTAGTAGAGACGGGCTTTCACAGTGTTAGCCAGGATGGTGTTGATCTCCTGACCTCGTGATTCCCCCGCCTCGGCCTCCCAAAGTGCTGGGATACAGGCGTGAGCCACCGCGCCCGGCCTGAGCCACCACGCCCGGCCTTTTCACTCGTTAACAAGAAAAACTGATGCCTGCTTTCAGAGTCAGAAGGACCTGAGTTTGAGTCCTGTTCCACCCCTACTACATCTGTAAACTTGGGCTGCTTATTTGATTTCCCTAAGCTTCAGTTTTCGATCTATAAAGTGGGAACAGTAGTATTTCTCCTTGAATTGTTTAGGGATTTTTAAAAAGTGAAGCTCTTTATGTAGGCCTAGCACAGTGCGTGTCACAGGCCACTTCTTCATCTAATGATAGTTGTCATATCAGTGGTCTGTCTCCTAATTGGTAATCATGCCATATAAATTCAGCTAGAAACACAAGAGTATTTTAATGAAGCAATATAGAAGATCATTGTGTTATGAGATCTAATGGGATAGGTAGTTTGTTTGAAAACAATTTCTTTAGCCCACTGTGTGTGTTAGCTAATTGTAGTTTTTGAGCTTGTAAAGAAAAGTACTATAAATCTTTTTTAAAATGATACTATAGGTGAGATTCTATAAAGTTTTAAAAACATTTTATGAGATTAAATTATAGTGGTTACTTGTGAAGCCAGTTATTCTAAATAGTAAGACTTAAGGAAGAAAACACGCTGAATTCTAGTTACATATAACAGAAGCAGACTTACCAGCTTAAGTATCTGGTTTATTTTTACATTTGGTTTGGTTGCACAGTATCAAGAAAATTCTGATTTACCCAATAAGGGGGTCCCCATCCTAACATTTTTTAAATAGCTTAGCTTAAAATGATGATGATAGTATTAACAAATATGCTTTGAAAGCTTATTCTATGTCAGATACTTGATACAAGTGTTTTGTATATTTTAATTTATTTAATTCTTCCTACAGCTCTATGACTTAGGATCTGTGTGAGGATACGAGGAACAGAACGTTAATTTGATCCAGGTCACTCAGCTGATAAGTACAAGAGTCAAGATTTAAAACCTGGCATTTTTGCGGGCGCGGTGGCTCACGCCTGTAATCCCAGCATTTTAGGGGGCTGAGGCGGGTGGATCACAAGGTCAGGAGATCGAGACCATCCTGGCTAACACGGTGAAACCCCGTCTTTACTAAAAATATAAAAAAATTAGCCGGGCGTGGTGGCGGGCGCCTGTAGTCCCAGCTACTCCGGAGGCTGAGGCAGGAGAATGGGTGAACCCGGGCGGCGGAGCTTGCAGAGAGCTGAGATTGCGTTGTGCCACTGGACTCCAGCCTGGGCGACAGAGCAAGACTTCGTCTCCAAAAAAAAAAAAAAACCACTTGGCTTTTTTGCCTTTAGGAGCCTACTCTCTTAAGCACTCACTGTACCATACTGTCTTTTCAGCTTAAAACGTTTGTAAATTAATTGGAGCCAGGCGCTTGAAAAGGAATTAGTAAAATTTTGTTGCTGTGTTGTGTCATTAACAATGCTGAGTGATTTTTATTGTAAATATAAAGTTAAATTTAATGGTCTTAAAACATCACTGCTGCTTGCTTGATAACTTGTGATATCGAAAAAAAAGTACTTCAGCAGCATTCACAGAGCAGATGCATGTAAACTAAATTAACACGTGAGATTATATACCCGCTTAATTTTGAATAACCAGACATTTACAGGCTTGAATTTACCTTTCAGTGCTATGGAAAGCAACACTTTTTTTTTTTGTTGTTGAGACAGAGTCTCGCTTTGTCGCCCAGACTGGAGTGCAGTGGCCGGATCTCAGCTCACTGCAAGCTCCGCCTCCCAGGTTCACGCCATTCTCCTGCCTCAGCCTCCCGAGTAGCTGGGACTACAGACGCCCGCCACCTCGCCCGGCTAGGTTTTTGTATTTTTTAGTAGAGACGGGGTTTCACCGTGTTAGCCAGGATGGTCTTGATCTCCTGACCTTGTGATCCGCCCGTCTCGGCCTCCCAAAGTGCTGGGATTACAGGCTTGAGCCACCGCGCCTGGCCGGAAAGCAACACATTTTTAAGAAGTTCGAATGTGCGCACAAAGATAGTGGCAGATTCTTTATTCTTCAGTGTGCAAAAACATTCAAGTTAACCAACACACAGCTTTACTCTGGGGATCTTCAATGTATTAAAATTTGAATGTGAGGTTTTAAAAATGGGTTTCCAGCTAGTTGAATGAAGTTTGACTTAAATATTTGCACACCCCTGCCTTGCTTACCTCAGGGCATGGTTTGAAAAGCACTCTTCTATAGAGGGTGGAAAATGGTTTAGGTATAAAAATAACCTCTTCTGATATAATTTTAGGAAGACTCAATGAATGATAGGAATTACTGTTTTGCTTTTCAGTTAACTTAGTCTTTTGTGTGTTTATAAGGTGAGCAAAAGAAAGTATATAGTCAGTATTTGTAATGTCATTAAAGGAACCTATAGTATTTTTGGGGTAAATGTTAGTGTTTTGGACCAAATTCTGTTTTAAGAATTTACTAAGCACTAACCCAATTGAATTTTTATGATCAGATTGGAAACTTGAGTTTACTAGATTATTTGAGGGGAATGACATTATCTTGGCCATCTTTGTACTCCCAGCACTTAACATCCTGTGTAATATAGTAATTATTTGTTATCGAATGCACTTGAAATGATTGTTTTTTCCTTGATTGACAATTTATCATTTATTTCTGATTTTTTTTTAATTTTCCGAGGTCTTTAATTTGCCTAAAGTGTAAGAAAACTGATATTATGTCTAATATTTGTGTTAGAGTAACCGAATTTGTCATTTTAGGGTAAAATATTTGGAGTACCCTTTAATGCACTGCCCCATTCTGCTGTACCAGAATATGGACACATTCCAAGGTAAGCAGAGTTTGAAATAAAGAAGGCCGGGGCACAGTGGCACATGCCTGTAACTCCCACATTTTGAGAGGCCAAGGTGGGCAGTTCACTTGAGTCCAGGAGCTCAAGACCAGCCTGGGCAACATGGTGAGACCTTGTTGCAAAAGATTCAAAGATTAGCTGGGTGGAGCACACCTGTAGTCCTAGCTACTCAGGGGGCTGAGGTGGGAGGATTGCTTGAGCCCAGGAGGTGGAGGCTGCAGTGAGCCTTCTAGCCAGGGAAATGAAGAAGAGAGTAAACATTTCAAACTGGTTTTAGAGAGTTTAAAAGAAATAGTTGATTAAAACATGCTTGTTTCAAACCAGCAAATGATTTCATCTCTCATTAGCTAATGTTAAAAAAATTTTTTTAACTTTTACATATTTTAAATTTATAATTTGTACCCCTTCCCAGGATTGGATTTTAAAGTCCAGTAATGAGTAAATGTTAGAAATCACCAAAAAAAAAATTTGTTCTGTTAAAGTCACTTTTCAGTTCTACATGAATTCTTTTGCCACAATTCAGATTAAGTAATATACTGAATTACCAATTCAGTAATAATTTTGACTTTTTGTTTGTTTGTTTAAAAAATATTGGCCACGCATAGTAGCTCATGCCTATAATCCCAGCACTTTGAGGGCTGAGGCAGGAGGATCGCTTGAGCCCAGGATTTTGAGACCAGTCTGGGCAACAAAGCAAGATTCCATCTATAAAAAAATTTTAAAGAAAACTCAGCTGGGCAAGGTGGTGTGCACCTGTAGTCCCAGCTACTCCTGAAGCTGAGGCAGAGGATTGTTTGACCCTAGGAGTTTGAGGCTGCAGTGAGCTATGACCATTGCCACTGCACTCCAGCGTTGGCAACAGAGTGAGACCCTGTCTCTTGAAAAGAAATATTGGATAAAAGAATATTTAAGCTAAGATATTAGAGTATTTGTGAAAATGTATTATGTATCACTTAGCTTTTCTATACCACTTACTATTTATAAATAACTTTTTTTTTTTTTTTTTTTTTTTGAAACAGTTTCACTCTTGTCACCCAGGCTGGAGTGCAATGGCATGATCTCGGCTCACTGCAACCTCCACCTCCTGGGTTCAAGTGATTCTTCTGCCTCAGCCTCCCGAGTAGCTGGGATTACAGGTGTCCACCACCACACTTAGCTAATTTTTGTATTTTTAGTAGAGATGGGGTTTCACCATGTTGGCCAGGCTGGTCTCAAACTCCTGACATCAGGTGATCTACCCACCTCAGCCTCCCAAAGTGCTGGGATTACAGGTGTGCACCACTGTGCTGGCCTATTCTAACTGCATCAGAAATTACTAGGAAAGTTTATGTTTTAAGAATATAATTTAAAAATGCATATGATGAAATTTATCTCTTAATTCATTTCCCCTCCATCTAAAGTAGGGTTCCTTTTGGCTATTATAGACCAATAATCTAGGTTTTAATCAACATGTCATCCAAAAGCAATTATTGAACACCTTGTTGCCTTAGGACAGTTTCCCCCCATTCATCCTATAGGTGTAGATTCATAGTCTTCTTAGGTAACCGCTTAACCATTATGCTCTGTAAATGACCTATGAAAGGCTTGATTTTCCTATAATAAGCACCTATAATGATTTTCAACAGGCTGGGCACAGGAGCTCGTGCCTGTTATCCCAGCACTTAGGGAATCCCAGGTGGTGGATTGCTTGAGCTCAGGAGTTCAAGACCAGCCTGGGCAACATGGTGAAACCTTGTCTCTACAAAAAATAGAAAAATTAGCTGGGCGTAGTGATGTGTGCCTATAGTCCCAGCTAGTCAGGAGGCTGAGGTGGGATCACTTGTGCCCAGGAGGCAAAGGTTGCAGTGAGCAGTGATTGCATCACTCCAGCCTGGGTGACACAGCAAGACCCTGTCTCAAAATAAAAACTGAAAGAAAAAAATTTAAAAAAAAAAACCAGATTTTCAGTGTCTGGAATTGCAAAGTCATATTCCCAGGAATAATGACTAAATCTTCATTGTAATTTCATTACCTACTTTTTATTTAATTAAAAGACTGTTTTGTCAGTTACCGTCTGTAAATAATGCTGACATTCAGCCACTGCACCAGTACAGCTGTGTCAGTTGTTTGTAGCTGATATTCATTCTAATTTGTGGGTGCCAGCTGTTCAGTATCTAGGTATCTAAAGCCAACATTGATTGAGATTATTGTTCAAAATAAAGAAATTGGGCACATTCCCCTTAATATGAAAAGGCTTATGAGGACTGGGAGAGGTCCTACTTTTCTGAGGGATGATGTTGGGGTGAGGAAAAAAAGAACGTCGCCCTGTTTTTGGGTAACATAGGAGATGAGAAGGTCACCCATGGAGAGATGGTAGACAAAAGAGGAAGGTGTTGGATGGAGCCCTGGGTTGTTCCAGCATGTAGAGGTCTGGCATGAGAGGAATGAGAAAAGGAGTTTGAGAAGGAGCAGTCAGGGAGACAGCAGGAAAGTAACAGAGTAGTGAAAAGGTATTTTTGAGATGAACAGGGAAGGGGTCAGGTGTGTCAGATGGTGATACATCAAGCAATATGAGGACAACATACTGACCATGGATTTGGCAAGGCAGAGGCTGTTAGTGAGCTTGAAGACAGCTATTGCTTTGGAGTTATGAGGTATGAGAATGATTGGAGAGGGGTGAGTGGAGACCAAGATATGAAGAAGTAGAGGCAGTAAAAAAAAGACATGTCTTATGTCCTGAAGGGAAACAGAAATGAAGTAGGATTGAGGTAAAATTTAGTGTGCACATTGGAGTTGTTATGAGTGAAAAGATGGGCATTGGAAAAGAATTTGGGAAGCAAGTAGACAACTAAAAGTAACATTTTATCTCAAAGACTACAGAGATTTGTGACTTTAGAGCTTCTGAAAGGTATGTAGTGCTTGGCCTGCTCATGTGTGTTAGCAGAGGAATAGGATTTGATAAGATGTATATCTAGCCAACTGAAAAAACATCTCTTTCAGCTTTCTTGTCGATGCTTGCACATCTTTAGAAGAACATATTCATACTGAAGGGCTTTTTCGGAAATCAGGATCTGTGATTCGCCTAAAAGCGCTAAAGGTAAGCATATTGTTGAACTATAATTTTTCATTTGAACCATTTTCTGATTTGGTTTCTGAAATATTTAGAACTATTAATATGAGTAGTTGACAGAAATTGAATTTGCATTTTTTTCATGGCAGAAAAATTTTTTTCCCAAAAGAAATGGTATAGTATTTCTTTTTTTTTTTTTTTTTTTTTTTAGACAGGGTTTTTCTTTTTTTGCCCAGGCAGGAGTGCGATGATGCAATCTCAGTTCACTGCAGCCTCCACCTCCTGGGTTCAAGTGATTCTCCTGCCTCAGCCTCCCGAGTAGCTGGGATTACAGGCGTCCACCACCACACTTAGCTAATTTTTGTATTTTTAGTAGAGATGGGGTTTCACCATGTTGGCCAGGCTGGTCTCAAACTCCTGACATCAGGTGATCTACCCACCTCAGCCTCCCAAAGTGCTGGGATTACAGGT